TACAGAATATTAAAAGACAATTTCATGCTATTTCTGGCTGAAAAATTACGTTGATGTTTTTGTTAAGTTGTAGTTTCTACAGAACACTTTATTCTCTCCCCTAGATAAATACATCTTCTATAATAATTACACCAACTTACGTGAAATCAGAATGTTTCAATCTGAAAGTTTAGATTCAAATTTCTTCTGGACTTATATTTACATTTCTGTTATACAGGCTTTATTCAATTACATAATTTAATTTAAATAATTTAGGAAAGGAAGCTCTTAGAGATAACTTTGTTCATTTTCAGGTTATTAAAATGTTGAAATATACATAAAATCTATAGTATTCCAAAACAGAATAATTACATTTTCAGTTTCTACATAACTTGATGGTCCCAAACCACTTCAGACATGAATTACACTTCACTAACCTCCAATAAACTAGAAAGCAACAGGGTATTATGCTGGTGCCCACACTTACTGAGCTTCAGGTTACAGATTTCAGGCACCAGAAAGGATTAAAAAAGGATATAATTCATTTGTACAACAACTCAAATCAGTGAACAGTGGTGGAAGAAGCTATTCTTGTCTTAACAAAAGGACAGTAGTGCCTAGCGGAAACACAGCACAGAATTGTGCTCAGCTGCAGCAGTGGACAAGGCCAGCCACAGATGAACACAAATTAGTGGGCAAACCTGCCATTAAACGTGGGCTGACAAGTCCAAATTGTATATAGATGTGCAGAAAGGCAATCTCCATACTATTACCAATCACTGAAACATAGCACTGTATACCAAAAGATCTCTTATTCCAGATACAGGAGTAAGCTACCCCCAACTTTGCCTTTTTAACTTCTCCTGAAAAAGGTACAGTAACCTTTTAACTACCATCAAAAAAAAACAATGTCACAGTGAAGCCAGCAGAAGGGGATAAATGCCTTTCCTTCAGGATCTCACTCTGGTTCAAACAGAATTTGTTTAAATGACAGAATTGTTTTTGTTGAAAAAGACCAACCATCTATCTAACACTGCCAAGTTCACCTCTAAGTACCACAACTACACAACCTTTGAATACCTCCAAGGATGGTGACTCCACCACTTTCCTGGGCAGCCTGCTCCAGAGCTTGACAACCATTTCAGTGGAGAAATTTTTCCTAATATCCAATCTAAACCTCCCCTGGTGCAACTTGATGCCATTTCCTCTTGTTCTATCTCTTATTACTTGGGAGAAGAGACCGACTCCTAACTGTCTACACCCTCCTTTCAGGTAGTTGTAGAGAGTGATGAGGTCTCCCCTGAGCCTCCTTTTCTCCAGGCTAAACAATGCCAGTTCTCTCACCCGCTCCTCATCACACTTGTGCTCCAGACCCTTCACCAGCTTCTTTGCCCTTCTTTGAACACACTCCAGTGCCTCTGTCTTTCCTGTAGTGAGGGGCCTAAAACTGAACACAGTACTAGAGGTGTGGCCTCACCAGTGCCAAGTACAAGGGGCCAATCACTTCCCTGGTCCTGCTGGCCACCACCATTTCTGATATGAGCCAGGATGCTGTTGGTCTTCTTGGCCACCTGGGCACACTGCTGGCTCATGTTTAGCCAGCTGTCTATCAATAATCCCAGGTCCTTTTTCAAAGGGCAAATTTCTAGCCACTCTTCCCCAAGCCTGTAGCGTTGCATGGGGTTGTCATGACCCAAATGGGGGACCTGGGCACTTGATCTTGCTGAACCTCATACAGTTGGCTTCAGCCCATCGATCCAGCCTGTAGAGCCTTTCTACCTTCAAGCAAATCAATGGTCCTGCCCAACAAGGTGTCGTCTGGAAATTTACTGAGGGTGCACTCAATCCCCTCGTCCAGATCATTGATAAAGATATTAAACAGAGCTGGCCCCAAAACTGAGACCTAGGGAACACCACCTGTGACCAGCCACCAGCTGGATTTAACTCCATTCACCACCACTCTCCAGGACTGGCCATCCATCCAGTTTTCCACCCAGTGAAGAGTACACCTGTCCAAGCCACAAGCACCCAGTTTCTGCAGGAGAACACTGTGGGAAACTGTCAAAGGCTTTACTAAAGTCTAGGTATACGTCAACAGTCTTTCCCTCATCCACTAAGCAGGTCACCTTGCCATAGAAGGAGATCAAGTTAGTCAAGCAGGACCTGCCTTTCATAAACCCACATTGACTGGGCTTGATCACCTGATTGTCCTGTACATGCTGTGTGATGCCACTCCAGATGATCTGCAAGCGTGCAGAACTGATGAGGGTTGAAGAAGAGGTTTGAAGAACTGATGAGGGTTGCCTTACACTAATGCATCAGACCATGACCTGCAGCTGAAGCACAGGCTTATGTTCACTGATCACACACAGTCGTCTCCATGGGAAGGAGGGGATGGATCTGTAAACTGCTTCAGCTTTTCCTTCAGTTACTACAAGCTGAAGCCCTAGGAAGTTACTTGCCTGCTTAAAAATTAGTTGATGTGCAACTGCTTCATCCCAACTATTAGTAATTGGTTGGACAAGTTTTGAAAGTCAAGTGGAGTCATGAAGACTAATTAGCATCCATCCAAAATCCCCCATCCAGCATGCTGTGGATGAGTATTTGCATTATATGACAAGCTATGGTATGAATCTTTTTCTGCTTTCCTAGGGTGAGCATAAAAAAATACCATCTTGAGGAACCAGACAAATGCTTTACCCATACAACATGCAAGCATAGGCACCTTTTGTAAGGTAATTCACACATTCATTTTGAGACCAATTACTTTGGTCTCACATAAAAACCTTTCCTGGAAGGATCATTAAACCAAATTCTGATTCAGAAAAATTTTAAGAATACCTAAAGTGAAATAAATTTATTTTTGCAATGGACCAAAGTAACAACCTGTTCATACCAAGTGTTAGTCATATTTTCAAACTGATAAATGTCTCTAGCATTTCCACTTAAAACAATTCAACATATCATAAAAAATAAAGACATCAGTCATAAGGTAATCAATAACACTCAGTTCCTTTAGAGATAATTTAGCATTAAGCAAAACACAGAATCAGTCTTACTTCTTGAGGAAAGGTAAAATTTAAACAGGAGCTGTGAAATTAAACTAATAGTCTTCCCCACAGAATCAAAGATGACTTACTATCCTTTCCATATGGCATTTTAGTTCCATACAGATCAGTAAATTCTTTGATAATGCACCTGTCATCCTTAATCAGAATTTGATTTAAAACATTCATTATGTGCCCAAGATTGACTAGACTTTTCTCAGACTGTTTTGAACCTTTCCTTTTGAAGAAGCTAGTGCTATACGATAGCAGTAAATCTCTGCTCAGAAAGACAGCAATAGCAATCTTATTTAGCAGTTCAATGTACTTCACAGAACAAGATTCAAACACTTTTTACCACTCCTATGATTTAAAGATCTTAATTAACATCAGTTTTATTTCACAAAGGAAAACAGCTGCTCTTGGTGACAAAGTGCTTTCAGAGCACTCCACAAACTGAAAGCAGAACTGAACAGTATCACGTGCACCCATAGCAAAGCTTTCAAAAACCTTTCAGGGGGAAAGAAAAACAACAACAACAACAACAACAACAACAAGAAAAAAAAAGAAAGAAAAAAGCAGCTTTAATTGGATAAGACTGAAGGGTCAGTAACTGCTCCACACACTAAAAACACAGAGCTCACAAATACACAAATCACTACAGAGACTCCTTCACAGCCCTGGAAACACTAACACTGGGCAGCACAAATCCTAGAGATTTTGAGCTTCTTTTCTGGGTGCAAGGTGTTTTGTTTGTTTGTTTTTCATTAGAATTTTAAGTCACAGGAGAAACAATAGTTAGTTCAACTTTTATACCCATATAAACAAGAACAGGTTGTATTTCCTGACCCTAAAGGGACTTCCACCTCCCAATGCTATGAGAAGACTGCAAAAAAAATCAAGTCAGTGAAAAATACCTTGCTGTCTATATATAGCTATATTGCCAAAAAAGTTAGGCAAAGAACCCTTAATGGAAGTCTAAATGTAAGGAATGGATTTTTTTTTAATCTACTTCTAACCAGAATTTTTAAATTGAAATTTATCACAGAGCATTCATTCTAATGCAAAGCTTCATAGTCAGATAAACACTATCATTTAAAAGAAGACTGAAGAGACCAAATTGCACTGTTGTTGCATCTTATTGAAATACCACAGTGATAAGACAAACAACTAGGTAAAATATATTTAGTATTTACAGGCACTTACTTGAACGGTGTGAACAGAAATGACAGTGTAGTTTTCTTTTTCTGACTCATCTTAACCTGCATTAAAAAAAACCCATTAAATCATTACATGCAAGTTGCAACAAGACTAAAAATTGTATCAGGAATTAAACTAAAAATCACAGAAGAGTTCTAAGTTTTTGGAAAAGGAATGAAATCACACTGTTGATGTACTGTTGAGGAAACTGGGTGTTTTACTCTGGTAGGTGTAACTCCTCCAAGTGCTGAACTAGCATTCCCAGAAGCTCAGACCTGCCTGTGTTGGGGTGGTGGGGGAAGGGCCACCTTGTGAGAGTGAAAAGCTCCCCTGGCTCCAAGGCGGAGACCCCCCCAGCCCAGGCTGGGCCAATGAGCGCTAGAGAAACATCTCTGCAAATCCATATTGTGAGGGGAAGGGCTGTCCTGAATGAATTAGGTGGGGTGAACCTGGAGGAGAGGATTTTGACCTGAACAAAAGCCCACCATTGGCCTAAACAAAGGACAGACAGACAGAGAGCTTCATTGCCAGAGAAAAGAGGAGGGGGGGAAAGACAGAGACTCACACCCAGTTCTACTGGATGGACTAGGAGAAGACAAAGTCCCCTCCAGCCCATGGAGATTCAACGGCAGAGCAGAGACACACATGTAGACCATGGAGGACTCCACGCTGGAGCAGAGAAGTTGAGCCTGAGGGCAAGTGTGATGGAATTGGGACCCCGAGAGCAGCTCACTGCCAGAGCAGGGGTGGACCCCCAGAGTGCGGGGTGAGTCTGCAGCCCGTGGATGTCCCCATGCTGGAGCCAGGAGCTGAGCCTGAAGAGGTCCACGACTCCATGGGAAGCATGTTGGACCATCTTGTTTCCTGGACTTCCATGCCAGGAAGAGTGGTAAAGGTGAACTGACTGAACTCCCATTCCCTGTCCCCTGTGCTGCTCAGGGGGAGGAAGGTAGAGAAATTGGGAGCAAAGTGATTTGAGCCCAGGAAGAAGGGATGGGTGGTGGCAAGGTGTTGTCAGATGTGGTTGTTATGTCGAGTTAGATAGATGGTAACAAATTAAATTGATTTTTCTTCCCCAAGTTTGAGTCTGTTTTGCCCGTGACCATAACTGGTGAGTGAGCCGTCCCTGTCCTTCATTCCTAAACCCGTGTCCCCTTTGTTGTGACTCCCACCCCATCTCACAGGGTGGGGGGGTGAGTGCAGGGCCGCATGGTCCCACTGTGGGTCAAACCACCACACTGCTCTAAAGTAGTTAAAATAAATCATCCCCAGGCAGTGATTCTCACAGAAGGACTTCTACAGTACATAAGACAAAGGGAAGATATGGATAGAAGTTATACCAGACTTCATTGACAACCTTCCTCTATGAAATCAGTGTTATTTATGCCAGACAGGAACTTGTACACTGCAGCCACACTGCTGAAGCAATGCTGTTAGATCGATTAACCTGCACAGGGATAAAAATAGAAGGCTTTGATGCTGTCAGAGCCACTTTGCCCAAGGCCTTTCAAAACATCTTTAAGGCCTCCTACAGCAGCCTGACTCAAGCCTGACTGCTGGCATAAAGCACACCCAGGAAGTTTCTAAGCACACTGCTCCCAAAACCTGACAGCTTGAAGTAGCAACCGGCACGTCTCATCCTATCCATCCAAGGCAACATCCTCTCCAAGGAGTACAAACTGTGGTCAGGTCAGTCCATCACAGGAAAAGTAAAAACCTGCTTGGCACATCTAAGCCAGCGCACTACTTCTGCTTCAGCAGAGAAACACAAAGGAAATTCACACACTATCCTTCCAAAACAATGCCAGAAACCAGCCAGCCAACAAGAAAAGAGATAATTTAGCACTACAAACTGACAGAATAAAAATAAACTGAAAGGAGGACCAGAACTTTTCAATATTTTTTTGTAATAACCCCCAAGACACCAGTTTAACTGAAAAAAGACCTGAGTCCCATCCTTATTTCATAGAGTAGAGGTCTTCCAACTGTGGATGTTATGTCAGCATTCTTCAACATCACATCCAGCCCACCAGTCACTGCCCCTGCTTCATGCCAGGATTCCACCATAGATTTGGAAGTGACTATGCTGCTGACACCGCCAACCTGGTATCCACACAAACTACATTTAGGGACCTGGCATTCAAGTGATAGAAGGTGCTGATGGTGCTAATCTCTTGCAGGTGATCTCACACTAATTCCTTGTTCCACCACCATCACACAGATTTCCTGACAGGGCAACAGTTCTTGTGTGGCTCAGCTTCCTCTCTGTGGAGAGGATGGTTTTCCCTCAGAGCACTTCTATGTCTTGCCAAAACTGTGATTTTTGCATTTTGGACTGTTTCTTATTCCACTGTCTAGTGAAATAGAACCATTTTTTGTTTGGACCACATTTGTGTTCTCATAATATAATATCCAGTGTTAGATGAATCAAGACAGAGAAGCCAGAGATGAACACTTGCAAAGCAAAACAACAGATACAACAGCATTAGCTAAAAGTTAATTAGGCCAATAATTTCATTTCTTTAATGGACAGGTGCCTGTTAACTTTTTGATCTGTTTGCATACTGATCCTGACTTAAGAGTCTTGTCTCCCAGCCCCTGCTGCAAAGGCAATATTTCCCTTCTTGGGTATCAGCACTCAGTCGCTCAGATTCTGCCTACATACTGCAAGTAGGTTCACATTAACATCCATAATCATCAGCATTTATGTTAAGAATCAAGAAAAAAGTTACTCCTTCTTACAAAATAGTGTTCATTAAAGTCTTTCAAACTCCTTCAGATATGGCTCACAGTTTCTAATCAACATCACTCAGTATGTGCGCTCAATTTTAGTCCTTTGAATTACAGCATGCTATATACAGCTTATGTCCTAGTATAATTATACACAGCAACATCTATTATACAAAGAAATATTTTTCTTTACTGTATCTTTAGTTACCTTAAATTGCTCGAGAATCTGAACAGCGTTGGTAAATATGCTCTCTGCTTTGAAATGAGCACTATTGTTCAGATATTCAAGAGGCAGAGTTCCCTGGGGAAGAAAAACACATACATACATTAAAAAATTTAAATGAAGAAACAGGAATTTTTCTAACTGAATGGCAGGCCAAATGAACAGTAAGAATGCCTCAAATTACTGCTGAAATAACTACTGCAACTGTTCTGAAAATACTCTCCTTACATAATTTCTCAACATTACAGGGACTGTTCATAATAACCCAGCTTCCACTGAAATGCAAAAAAGATAAATAACGGAAGTCATTATTTAAGTGTATACTATATAGCAGTACAACCTCAACTTTTAATCAGAAGCCATTCTTGAAATAGCTAAAAGCCTTCCACCTTGCCTGGGCCTGACTCACCCAGTACTCACGACGGGAAAGGGAGCCATTCCCGTACCAACCTGTGTTGGGTGGCTTTCCTCGCATGATCAGCACTGAGTGCAGGACAGGGGGACAGAATTGGGGGTAGTCTCACCAGAAGAAATATTTCAAAATACATGCTGTAAATAGGTGTTTTCAAGATGAAACAAGCAGCATGAAAGCCCATTAATGTAATGCTAATTGTCAATTAGAAATTTATGAGACAACCTTTGGACTAGGTAATAATATACAAAGGAAATGAAAAGCAAAAGCCATATCACAGTGAGGGCACTCACTGTTCACTAGAGGCACAAGATACCATCTGAAGAAAGTGCACTAGTTTAAACAAGAAATAATTAAACATTAAATTGCAGGAATCAGCTTGTTTACAGGCTCAGCTTTCATGATCAAAATCAAGAGTTATTCAAACCATATTGCATTTTTACCATCCCTAAAAAACAAAGTAACAAAAAACTTAGGTAGCTCAAGAGTATAAAGTTGCAGATTAGAAAAGGATCTGCTGCCTTTCCAACTGAAAGCACTACACAATATATAAAAAGATTTGAGTTTATGCTCCACACTGAAGACATACATATAAAGCCAAAACTACCAGCAATTTCCAAGAGCTATCGCAGTTTTCCAAATTTATAACCTTTGTCCTCAAATACCTCGTCTTGTCCTCAACACCTCTTTGCAAGCAGGTTTCTATAATATGAAAAAAAAACATTTGTACTTCTTACCACAGAATTCAGGGGGAAAGGCACACCGATAAGGGAAGCCATCAGCGGTGCAATATCAGCCTGTGCAAACAGAAGCATCCCCATTTTAAGACAGTTAGAGCTTCTAGAGTTAAAAAATTCAGTTTAATTTTAACATATCTGCATTGCAAAAGTAAATTGTATAATACTGTGAAGTTATGACACACAAAATTCCTTTATAATATTTTTTTAGTTTCCAGTAGTCATCATGGCATGATTCGATTAAAAATGTGAGGCTCCACTACTAATAAAGCTTCAAAAATGCATTTAATTTAAAAAGCAAATCTAAAACCCCGCAGTATTTTTTCACAGGAATTCAGTACCTCCTTCACTGCACTCAGGGGCATACCACTTTTTATGACTATTTATACTACAGAAAGAACTAATTTCATATTCACAGTTTTAAGCAGTACACAATATACTGTTTTTCCCAGCACTCCTTATCCCATGTTTCCATGGTGCCACTTACTCACCTTCTCCCCTTCAGAGGGTGATTCTGCACTTTTATCTGTGTCCTAGTCAGCCCTTAGGAAGGCCCCTCTATCTACACCAAGGCTTCTCATAAAGGCCATTACCTTCTACTTGTGATGATAAACACCAGCTGTAATCAGGTTTATATTTTCCTTTAATATAAAACTATGCACAAAATTTCTTTGTTTTTCCAACATAAATCTGAAGAAACTATACAGAAACCAGCGGCATTTCTCCAGCCCCAGATCTGCTGTGCAGGAGGAGACTCCAAAGCATTATTTGTAGAGGACAATATACATGTAGTATAATAAAAAGCAGAAGTTTAGTTTCCTATTTTTACCCATAGTCCCACATGTACTACGGGACAAAAGCTCTGTCTTTGGGGACTCCATTACCCAGAACAAAGCAACGCTCAGGTGACACTTTGCTATACAATCTCAAAATAACATCCCCATAGCTCCTGCCAACCTTGAGAGGAAAATTCATCTCCAATCTTGTACCAGGGCTTTGCTGAAAGCAGCTGATCCAGAATATTCCCCACTTCAACCTTCTAGCATGAGTTTATTTCCCTTGTTTGAGCAGGTTTGGAGTCTGTTATGCATATATTGGGTTGCATAGGATGACAGGAAGTATGAAGCAAACAAGCTTCAGGTGCACACATGTACGTGTGTTATCATCACGATTTAAAAAAGTTTGGCTTATTTAGTATCAAGGGTTAAGTTGTCCACCTTTTTTTCTTCCTTTACAGTACTAACTGTCTAAATGGCCAAGTGGCTGGGCTATAATCACAGACCTTGTTGAAAAAAAAACAGTTTAACAGTATAGCAAGAATTGGTTTTGATTCAATAATGATAGCAACTTTTGGAAAAAGTGACAAAATGCCGACATTTAAATATATAGTTCTGAAAAACTACACTGAACATACACATGGCTAACTTAAGTGTAGCAAAAAGCATACAACAGATGCTCATACATTTGGGAAACATGGTCATTAGACCATGCTTTTTTTTTGTGTGTTTAGCTGGGCACCTTCATAAGATAGCAAGGAGGTGTAAGCACAGCTCGAGAACATTTTCAAAGTAGAAAGTAGAGGGAAAGCATCACAAGTTATTTCTAAAGGTTTGCAAAAACAAATCCCACTCTGAAAACATGTTAGATACTATTCAAATTACTTTCAGACAACACACTGAATTTTCAAGGAGTAGCACACTGTTTCTTTTCTTTCAATAGCATATGATCACATAACTAAAAATGGTATGAAATGCACTTTCAGGAAGAGAAGTTGTATGTAGCTTAAATTAACAAGCAATTTAAACTTTTTCCTATTACGTTCAGTATGGGCACGGTTCCTGCAACTCTAACATTTAAGTAACACATTCCAGGGAAATGCTATGTCAGTGTGATTATTCATTCAAATCCCATCAATTAGTTTAAATCACATAAAACTCATAATTTAAGGTGAAAAATTATAAGCTATTAAATTCAGTATGTTTGATACCTGATTGACATCCAGCCTCTTCAAGTGTCCTAGTTTCCATTCTGCAAGAAATAACAGAGCACATGAACAGCTAATCTACATTGATTTGAAGGGGATAATTCAGCTGACATCTAACATCTTGTTGCTGTTTTCCGTAAAGTGTTGTTACTAAAGAAAATTATAAATTGGCTGTAGGATGCTAGCTCAAGAAGGGTTATGGATGGAACTCAACAGGCAGAAACGATGAAATGCATTCATTTCAGTTCACATTTTCTTTTATCCACAAGGATAAATTATGACTCAGATCAGTTGAAGAAAGTCCAAGGTTTTTATTTTTTTCAGCACAATATAAAGAGTGATGTATTACCTCCTGTGCCAAATAAAAGATTCTAACTCGGGTTTAGGAGAAAGGCTGTTTAAAACTCTTCAATAGTTTTTAAAAAAAGGTTAACCCAAGGTCCCCAGTATACTGGTACAGAGTGGTACAAACATACTTCATGTCTGCCATAAGCTCAAGGGAAAAATTCAACAACTTAGCAATCACAACAACTACAATGAAGGCAGAGACAAAGCCAAATGTACAAGTCCCTAAAGCTGTAGTGCATCATACAAAAAGCTGGTTCAAAACCGTATTTTCCTGCTTTCCATTAGCCTCTAAGGAAATAAAGAGGAAATTGCCTGTTTTCTTTGGGGGTGGAGAGTTATTTAAAAATAGAGTTTAGCAGAGTTTGGGTGGGGTTTTTTTTTCACGTCTTCTTTTCCTGACGTTTAAATTCACTGCCTCACAGCAATGATATCAGGTGGGGAAAAAAACCCAAAACAACAAACAAACAAAAAACCCCAAACACCCAAAAAAGATGACAAAGAGGTTTCCTTTTTACTTAAGCTTAAGAAAAAACAGTTCCACTGGAAAATATGATAGGGGCTGAAACAGACTTGCTGATACAGTACTTAAAATACTGTCGGTGACCTACCTAGAGCAGATCCCAAGTACAGCAGTAAAGATGTTGGGAACACCTACCCTCAACTTGGGAACCAAACTCAGTGTTAGCAACAGGGGCACAGTCACCTTCCACAACACACACAAAAAGCTAAATGGGACAGTCACCGTCCTGCTGACACCGCCTGCCAAAATGACACCGCAGAGACAGCACAGAACAGAAGCAGGAGTCCACTTAGCACCTCAGACCGTTGATGGCGTAGCCACATAGCTCAAATTATCCTTTGAGTTTATGGGAAGTAGAAGTTTAAATGCACTAGAAAAAGGCTTCATGAAGAATAACAGTAACCCACCGCTCAAAGGTCTGGCTCAAGCTCATTTATTTCCTCCAAAGAGGCGTTCAAATCCTAGACCATACCACCCTTTCTCCATCTTTCAATATACCCCATCTGTGCCAGACCCAAATCTGTCTCAGCTGAAAATGGCCTGAGACAGGAAGCATCCACATTTGCAGTATTGCATGTACCAAACTTAGTTTCAGCAACTGGTTCGTACCACTGCTAGCTGCAACAGTCTGAGTACAGGTCCACTGTTATTTGGTCCCAAAAGCACCCTAAAGAGCAGCCATGTACCTTAAGAACAGCGAGACATACAGTTACAGCAAGTTCCCATGGCAACGGGGGAGAAGCATTATCAGCATTAATAATCTCCACTTCCCCTACTCAGATATTCCCAAACGGCACAGAGTTGAAGACATCTGCCTTGGACCAGGCACTGTAAGACAATGAGCTCCTGAGGATGGGATACAACTACAGACCAGCCAGCTAGTCCAGGCTGTACTCCTGGGAGAGACACCTTGGGTGTACAAGCTGTCCATGCTGGTTACCAATTCCAGCTCACCGTCTAGGTTTCCTGTACAGTGCTCAGCACAGTTTTCCACCAGCCTGATAGGGTCCAGCTGTTGCAGGGACATACCAGTTCAAGAAGATGCTGATGATGAGATTACATGAACCAAGGAAAATTCACAGAAGCAAAAGCAGTGAAGGGGTACACTGAGCTCCCTCAGCTGCAGCAAAGCAGGCTGAGCCCCCTCCAAAATAGGGATGTGTAAAGATGAAAACAACTACACCATGTCTTTCTGCTGCAGAAGGCTATGCATTCCCTTACAAGCTTCTCTAGACTTGCACCCCAAGGCCACCTGGCAGGGTTGGCACTGAGGAGCCAGAGAGCTGTTCTGTGTTCTCTTTCTTTCTGAAGAAGGGTCAAGCCAATGGCCAAATGGGTAATACTACACATTGTCCACAGGATGCAGGGCTGCCATCACAAATCTTTCCAAGATTATTGCATTGCCAGGCCTGAGGGAAGGCAGAGCACAGGTGAAGGGACTGATGAGGAGAAAGCTGTCATCCCAGAGCGGACACTGTGCCCATCCAGCCATCTGAGGAGCACATTAATCTTTCCATGACAAATTGGACAGACTAAGTCCTGCCTGTTGGCACTGCTTTTGGGGGAATCAACCTTTGATGGCAATGATGAGCAGAGAGACAATTCACTGAGCTGCTTACAACCTGCTTGCACTAAAAAGTTTGTCAGGATTAGAAATATTTTGTTGTTTCCATGAACTCTTAACTGAGAGAAATTAGAAAGGATTCTCAATAGACACAAGAACTTAAACACTGATGCATTCAATCACACATATAAGTCAGACACCCACATACATCAGTGATACAGCGACCTCCCCTCCTGCACATAGTCGCAGCTGCATTTGTATGGAGCAGGGAAATCAAATTCAAAAAACTTTTCAAGAGACTTCTTTTAAGCATCTTTTCTTTCATATGTTTGCTTTGTGAAAATATGTGGGATTGTAATTTAACGAGTAGCTGAATGGTATTGACCTGTGAAAGTGCCAAGTTACATTTCAACAACAGTTTTTTCTTTACTTTTAAGGTACGTATCCTACCAGAAGTTGTAATATACTACTATAGAGACAAAAGTCACTTTTTAAGAAGATACTTATTACTCAAATATAAATTCAAACTCCCAAGATACTCAGAGAGACTCAGATCTCCACTAGAGATTATCCCTGGCAATGAGGAACAGGTAGACACAGTGTCCAAACAGACCAACAACATGCTTGACAGCTGGAAAGCTGCAGAACAAGTCCAGAATGAAGGGAGAAATTTCTGCTATTTGCTTTGGGGTGTTTGTTTTTTTGTCTGGTTGTTTTTTGGGGGTTGCTTTGTTTTGTTTTTTTAAACCCTCGGAAGGAAAATACAAAGCAGGCACTGCAGGGTGCAGACACATTCCCTCCTTTAAGAAAATACACATTTCCTAATAAAGGACAGTCAAAAAGCTTTCCCTATCGTGTACCAAGAAGTCAGCTCAATACTCTTCTTTTTTGAAATGCTCTCACAAAATTTTTATCATTACTTGAAGTCAAACACTGAGGTTTTTACTAAAGCTGCTGAGAATCAAGGCAACTGACAGCTGTAAAAATAAACTGTTACAGATCAACCCTTAGAGACATCAAGTGTCCTTAGAAGTCTAGCTAATCAGCTATCACAGACATCAAAATCTGTTGGTTTCACTCTGTTTCTATTTTTTATTCTACAACTCATTTTCACTTCTATCAGAGATGCCATAGTTTTATAGCAGCAGTTAATTACCAAGAGTGAAATGTTAGCACAGTCTACATTTGAGAAGTCCTGTTTGTTTAATCTGTTACCTAATACTTTCTCAAGAGCAGGGCAGGGTTAAAACTTCAGGGTTGAAGAAATTTTTGCCTGTTTTCTCTAATGTAGCTTGGAAAAGAATCCAATAAAATAGAAAGTCATTACTTCACTGATCACACATAGCAACCTGTGAGATTCAAGGCATCTTAAGAAACAGAGCAGGCTATAAGAATGGGGTACACAAAAGAGGAAGACCTTGCATGGTTTAATTACACATGGCTCTAGAAATTCATTGATATTTCAATAATCCAGTATTTATATACTATACATTTGAAATATTAAAAATTAATTCCTTTTTAATAACTTCACTCTTCTTAAATAAATTACAAAGGTGAAAAACAACAGTAAAGAGTCAAAGTTTTTCATTGAGAAAGATTGCTTACATTTCCACAGCAGCCACAAAGATGGAAGTGAGACAAGATAAACCCTGGAAAGTCCCCGGGGTTGTACTGTGAAGCTAGAAAAGAGTCTTAGGACATAGCAACTTATCATGTTTCTGTACAAATAGCTTTTAACCTCTGTGAGTCTTCCTAAGAATTAAGTCTTCTGCTGAACTAAGTTTTAGGAGTGTGAATAACCTCCTGTACCCAAAGAGATAAAATCTTCAGTTCCATAAATAGAAAAAAAAAAAAAAAAAAAAAAAAAAAAAAGGAGTCTGATATTATCTACACAATTTTGCAATACTCTCCATAGGCATGCCCTGTCACCTTTTCTTTCCACACCACACAAAGCAAGTCATATTTACTGTAACTGAACAGAAGATCAACAGGTGCAATGGTTAAACACCTGCCTTTTCACCGAAGTCTTGCACTTAATTTTCACATTTTACCTACCTTTCAAAAAATTGTCTTCAAAGAACTGGGAAGTGACTTTCTGTGGATAATTCACTCCAGCACCCCAAACAATCAGTGGTGTTAAAGTTTCTGAGGGATGACCAGCTCCATGGGATCCTATGATACACCAAAGCAAAAACAGTGTAAACTTTAAGACACATGGTGTAAAACAAACAAAAAAACTCCCTATATATATATGTGTGTGTGTGTGTGTACACATGTACCAAGTTCTTGTTACAGTATATATACTAAAATCTCATTACAGACAACCTATTCCAGCTTCATAGCTTATTTTTCTGCCACTAACAATAAAGGCTAAATTCAAGTTGTAAGTCGGGAAGTTGGTACCACTTAAGTTAAGCCTATAAAGATGAAACTTTGTATATTAAAAAACCACAAACTTAACATACAGAAATCGAAGCAAAAGTATTTGAAAGCCTCAAGGTGTAGAGGAGTTACCTGCTCAAAACACATGCGTGTGCCTATCATGAGAATCCCATGAAAAGCAGGGATGGTTGATTTGAGTAAAGTTAGGCAGGTGCCCAAAAAATAACATAGAACTGAACTCTGGTCCCCAAATAAGGATTAGACTTCCCTTTCAAAACTAAGAGACAATATGCATCACAACTGTCATCCTTTCCCCAGTGATACAAAAGTTCATTTTTAAGGTTTTAAAGCCTGGTAGCACACTCCTTAAAAACAGATAAAGCATTACTTCCTTCCCTGGGGAAATTAATTCCCTCCAGATTAACATATCAGCCCTCAAAAAGAGGAAGCTTTAAAACTACGACGTCTCAACAGCAGCTGCACTGAAGCAGAAGCCATACAAGCTTGAAAGAAATGCTGGTCATTGAAGTCAGTGGGTGAGGTACCACAGCAGTGAGATAACCCAGGCTCAAAGAGAATGACATTGTTATACAAATTCTATGCCAGTCACTGCACACTCAACAGATTATACACTTTCCTCGTATTTGCATAGACACACAGCCTTCCCTCTGTGTGTGTATATATGTATTTTAATAATTACAAAGGACAGAGAATAACAATATGTATTATATATATGTATTTTAATAATTACAAAGGACAGAGAATGTCCTTTGTTTTAAGGACAGCTTTTTTCTTAAAAAAAACCCCAAACAAACCAGAATTGGGTATGAAACTGGGAGTAGCATTGAGGCTAAACAACAATCACTAAAGCAGAAGAAGCCAGCTTTGCTTTCTTTAAACAGCCCTACATTTAAGAACACACAGGTCTGAGAATAAGATTTTCAATGTTCAGATATCCCTTACGCTCTCTGGGCTCAAAAGCAGCAACAACTGCTCTTCTTTGCAGAGCCTGGGAAAAAAGTAGATGGAAATAGCACTTCCTCCATCCTCCAGGCATCAGTTATTTCTTTCTATTGCAGGAGGAAAGTGCAAGTTTTGGCGAGCTTTCATTTTAGCCAAGTCACCAGCTCCATCAGCATTTTACTGAGACTCTGCATCCATGAATACTTTAAGACAGATATAGCTGAGAGAGGCAGCTGTATCCAACCTCCCCCTTTTATAGGAACCAAGTTTCAGCCTGATCTGAATTATAAGAGAAGGAAAAAAAAAAAGAATTTGATTTTTAGCTGGATCAATTCCCTGTTCCACCCCTCAGCACCCCCCAAACACACCTTCTCAGGAAAAAGGGATGGAAATCATGCTATTGTTTAGTTTTCTGTTCTCTGGTCCAGTGTACCACACAGTAGTACAGGATGGCAGCAGGAGTAAGTGGCCAAGGTGAGGGTAGGTGTGGGACCACCTATGTTGGTGGTCAGCAGTTCCATCCAGCTTAAAGCAAAATCATGGAGACAGACTGAGAAAGCAAGTGATTTTATTGGTCTTTGCCAAGAAGCAGAGTTTCTTTGATCATGTCAAGTTCAAAACGTGTTCTCTTCCCTAATAAGTAACCCTGCTCTTTTAATTTTTAATTTGTTTTAAAACTAGCAGACATCTCATTCTGCAAATAACCACTGAAACACTGCAGCAGTTCCTGACACTACAAGCTCAAATACAAAGCTATTGAACCAGCCTCCAGACTGCTGGCTATGTGCCTGAGCATCATTTCTGCGTTTGCTCTTGGACTCACTGAACTCAACTTTAAAGTTATTAACACTTCTGGCAGAAGGTCAAGCTTTTTCTTCAAGGCAGAAAGAGATGACAGAAAACTATGACAGACCAGTGGTTCTCAAAGCCTGAAGAGTTACTCCTATCACCTTTTATTCTTCCTTCAAAGGATACAGTACATAATGAAAACATCCCAGCAGCACACTCTGGCAACAAGGAAGGCCAACAGCACCTCAGGCTATGTTAACAGGGGCACGATCCAGGGAAGAGATTATCCTTCTCTACTCAGTACCTATGAGACAACCTCTAGACATTGGATCCAGTTTTGGACCCCTTTAGTACAGGAAAGACATCAACCATCTGTAATGAGCTCAGTGGGGGCCCACAAATTGGTCAGAGGAGCACTTGTCATGTAAGTAGAGGCTGAGAGAATGGGACTTGTTCAGCCTGGAGAAGAAATGGCTTTGGGGAGGACATAACAGAGTATCCTGCCTGTAGCCCACTGCAAGAGGGTTTGAGAAAGGATGGAGCCAGGATCCCAGTTGGTGCATGGTGGGAAGATGAGAGAGAACAGGCATAAGTTCAAACAGAGGAGTTTCAGATTGCAGAAAAAGAAAACCTTTTCCCCTCCACGAGGCCAGGCAAGCAGCAAAGCAGGCTGCCCAAAGTGGTTGTGTCGGCTCCATTCTTTGAGGTTTTAAAGGTCCTGCTGGGTAAAACTGTCTGATCCCAAACCTGATCCTGCTTTGAGTAGGTGGTTGGACCTCCTGAGGTCCCTATGATTATATATATTAAAAATATATATGAACACCTCCCTTATAAAAAATTATTAAATGACTACTTGAATCAGACAAAAAAATATATGCCAGAATTAAAATCTTATTGCAGGTGGCAGTCAGCTCAACGGTAAGTAATATTCAAAACAGACTATTTTGCAAATGAGCAAACAATAATTAGGCTGATTTTAAATAAAGAGATGAATACTTTTGTTATCTCTGATGACAGAAAAAGCTTGCATCCCTTCCATTTGAAAGGTTTATGATTTCACACACAAAATAAGATGCTGAATTTTGCCAGGACCATGCCTGAAGCATCCTTTGTTCAAAAGCATCACAGTTAAATCTAGTTACACCAAAACTGCCTCAAGTCATTTGGCCACTAAGGTCATGCACTTCACAAGTGCCCTCTGTGGGTACCAGCCTGGCTGGCCACCTGCCTCACTCTCCTTTCTGTCCTCTCAGCTGCACTTCAGTGCGAGCCTCCTCTAGAAAGATCACACAGCAGTCCTATCCTTCCTGCTGTGCCTAAAAGGCTAAAATAAGTAAAAAGACATTCCCCTCGCCCCCCCCCAAAAAAAAGTTTTTCACCAGCTCCCAGACAGCTCTGTCACCTTTCACAGGTGTTTGAGAGCAAAGTGATAACTATTTCTGTCCCACATGAGCTGCAGCAAGACCAGCTTTGTGGCTGGCAGCCAAACAACACAACCTCTGTCTGCTTGGGCTAGTTTTCTGCAGGGAGGCTCTGATAGAGGTGGTATTTAGGTCTTTTCCTGCCTACCAGCAGTCATTAAGGGAGTTAAGCTTTACCTTATTAAAACCCCCTAAAGCTTCTAATAGGAAAGAGCTTTAATAGAACTCCAGATACTAACTCATAAATTCAGCTGACTCAACATTTAAAGAGACTCACCCCAATCTGTCATTCCATGGTCAGAAGTTAAAATAAATGCAGTTTTTCCATCATTTCCATAGAAATTTTCAATCATTGAAGCAATTTCTTGTACACCCTCGTCAACTTTTTTAATATTCTCCTTGTATTCCCTAGAAAAATAAGAAAAAATGTTATTAGATTCAAGGTGTCGCTCACACTTGGTATAAAGCAAGTTATACATGGTCATAATGCCCAGTCATTTGATTATAGACAGTTTTACCCTTTACAGAACTTCAAGCTAACAAAAGGCATCCTAGATATAAAATCTCTCCTCCTCTAAGTCTTATGTGAGATCCTAAATTGTCACAGCACAGTTTGAAGGTTCCTGAAACTATAGTCTCAAAACGGATGGTCATTTACATTTCAAATCTGATCTCTCCTTGATTGAAGACTATAATTTAATCACCCACATCTATCAGGCAATTAAGGAGAATGCCAAAACTAAGGAATTCTGGAAAACTTGAGCACCTTAAACTGTAAGTTTCAAAAATTACTTTAAGCCAGTAACTAAGTAGCAAAGAAAGAACTTGCCATGCAAGGACTGTTTTGAGATGAATCACAGATCAGCACAGATCCCAGAGTTTTGTGGAATAGAGGCTAAACCAAAAATCTGTATGTTTTTAGAAAAAATGACCATGATTAACCCTCAGCCAACTAATTTTCTATTGTTGGTTTTGCTAATGTCAGTTTGAAAACTCTATCTTCAAAAAATCATTAAAAAAAAAAGAGCATGAGACATAGAGCAAGTGTGAACTTCGGAATGAAGTAGGAAATCAGAGCAAGGATTTTGAAAGTATGCAAGAAATATATATCCTGCATTCAAAGTATGTGAGGAAATGAAAAGAAAGTTCTCAAATAGCACACTTCAAGATGATTTGGTAATGAGTAGCGTTAATCTAAATTCTTCATTCAAGTGTCTTCAGGAAAACTAAGGCATGGAATTTGCAGCCATTATTCCTGAGCTTACTGTTGTCTACAAATTCAGTCATACCATTTCAGCCATGGAGAATCTGGTAACCGTTTCCATTTTAAATACAAAACTGCAATTTACTACATATCCTCTAGATCATATGTTGATTACAACTAAAGCAACTTGCTAAAAATAAGATTTGAGTAAAGGAGTATAATCAGGGACACTGTATATAGCAAAAATCTGTCACTTCTAGAAGAGAGACCTTAAAGACAAAGAAAAACCCTAGGAAATTCAGAACATAAGTAATCATGGTGACATACATGACCTATTGGAGAAACCCTCAAGACTGCAAGTCTTGTTTCAGGCTTGATAAATAGCACTGTTAAAAAAAAGTTACTGTATGCATTTAAAACTAGTAAGATAGGAGTAATCTCTCAATTACCTGGAGTTTGGCCGATGAGCATGTCCATTTGTGTCTATGCCTAGCAAATGCAGGAACAGAACCACTTTGTCCTCATTCAGTGCAGAGAGCAATGTTTGATTACTTCTGGAATAATTAAAGAAGCTCTGTATGGAATAAGCCATTCAATTATTAATCTGAGTACAATGGAAAAACATGATAGGTAACCTATTAAAACTAAATCGCAGCTGTTTTCATGTCAAAATACTAGCAGTTATTAGTTATGAAAGCAAAAATTAATTACTGCCCGGTTTACTTAAAAGAGGACAACTACCATCAATATAGTCAGTCCAAAGTTTCAGCTTATCTAAGACAGGCAACACTCCTCAAATTGAGGGGTCTTTGGGGGGGTTTTTTTGCTGTGTTTTTTGTTTGTTTGTTTGAGTTTCTTTAGGCAGAAATACCAGATAACTGCATATTAACCCTTCTTTGCCTCCTGTGTAATCACAACAATGAACCATTCCTGAGTGCCACTTATGGCTTTACATTTCCATTAATTTATCAATTTAAAGCTGGAAGCAAACATCTCAAATACTCTTGCTCTGGAAGCAGGTTCTGCAGAACTGAGATACCAAGCAACAACTTGTTTGTAGAAACCAAATTAAAACAGAGCAAAACAGCCCAGAAGGCCAACCATATCCTGGGCTGCATCAAGAGAAGCGTGGCCAGCAGGTTGAGGGAGGTGATTCTCCCCCTCTACTCCGCTCTCGTAGTGCTGGAGAGTGTCACACACACCTGGAGTGCTGTGTCCA